TAATATTAATAAAGTTGAAAATAATTATAAAAATTTATTGTTAAACTATTATATGCTATGTTTTCAATAAATATTGTTTAAAATGCTATGATGAAATTATTAAAAAAGATATTTAATAAGATTTAAATTACGGATCTGAAATTTGTGTATAAATAATTTGTGTATATAAATAATTTGTGTATAAATATTAGTATATAATAGTTTGTGTATACTAATATTTATTTTAAATACTAGTAGTAATTATAAAATGAAAACCGAATTAATTATGATATAAAATTATTATATTCCATATTTTTATGAAAGTAAATTAAAAAGTCATTTCTCTTTATCCTAGTCCTTTTTGCTAATCTCCTAGTCGCTTCCCCTCTTCTTAGAAGAAGCTTAGTGGGATGAAGAAAGCGCAATTCGACTTCAAAAGAAAATTACACCGTTTTGTAAGCGGATGTGTGTTTTTAAAAAGTGGCGGCAAGAGGTTGATTAAATTGATTAAAATAATTAAAATATATAAAATATTGATTAAAATACATAAAAGCTAGTTTTTAAAACAACAGCCAGAAAATTGTACTTGATAGAAAAATAAGTAAATGAACTAACAATTTAATAAAAATCATTTTAATAGCCGAAAAAGCGTTCCAGTGGTTCCCAAAAGATACATTTTGATAAGAGCAATTATTTTAGGGTGTTCTGGTTAAATCACTAAATTATAAAACAAGCTTATAATTAAATTGAAATTATATAATTTTCTGATTAAATAAATATAATTAATAATTAAATAACTTATAATTAAATCATTTTTAAATTTAAGGATTAATGCTTAAAATATCCATTTAATATTTCAATAAAACTTGAACAAAGGAAGACTACATCATTAAAATTAATATCTTCAAGCATTAAAAGAATGATTAAACATTTGGTACAAATCATCGAAATTTGCTAAAGATTCTGTTTACGAATTGTATTCGATCATCTTATGATGATAATACCTATCTTAAAATTCAAATTTTATAATCAATTGAAATATGATCATAAAAATTTAAACATTATTTAGTGTATCTAAATTAAATATGCAATACATATTTCTTAAAGTTATAAAAACTACAGAATTTTTAAGAAATAAGCAAAAAACGTAGTTTATTTCCTAAATTATACAATAACATGAACAAGTGTATTATGATATAAGAAACATTTAATATAAATTATTTATGATATATGTTAAAATTTATGGACTTTTGTTAAAATACTTATATATTGACATTTTAAATTTTATTAAACTAATTACATAGATACATTTTTTATAAAATTTGTGTGTTATTTTTAAATAAAATATTTTCTGTTCAATATTTATAAATGAATTTTATTAAAATTAAAAAATCAAATCTAAAAGCTCAAATCTAAAGGCTTATCTAAAGGCATTTTTTGTTACATTATTAGCTGAAAAATTACTTACATATAAATTATGTTATTATTTATGAAATAAAATTGTAGAGTACTGGTTGTTAGAGAGTGTAGAATGACACAACAACATTAAGAAAACTTTTTGTGCTGTATTTTGTGTGCAAAATAAAAAATGTGTTAGTTAATGTGTTAGTTAAACCAATTTTTATTTGTGAAAATTTGCAGTTTTGTGAATAATTTAAAATATTTATTAATATTCAAACAATTACGCAATTATTCACTAAGAAATAGGTTTTTCAAACCATTTACAACAATACGAACATCGTAATTTTAAAGAACTTTATATAAGGTATAATATATCAATTATATTAATTGATATATATTAATTGATATAATATATTATAAGATCTATCAATCAAATATAAATTGATATAATATATATTTTCTAATAAATATATAAAAATATATATCCGATATAAGGCACCAGGGCTGTGCGCCAAAATTTTCGCGTGGCGCGCCAAACGACAAACGCCAATTTTTCAAATTTTAAATCACGCCAAACGCAAAACGCCAAAAATCGGCCAAAATCAACGCCAAAACGCCAAACGCCAAAATTTTTAGAATCTATAGGAACTTAAAAGCCACTGTTCATCTCATTTTAGCGCCGCAGGCGAAATTTTTTGAATTTTCAAGAGTCCCAGAAGCCAGAATTCATCCTTTTTTTACCGCCGGAGCAAAATTTTTAAAAAAAATAAAAAAAATAAGAGATTCATAGAACTCGTTGTGATTAAGGTGGATATGAAGGGATAAAGGGAGTAATGAGTATAACATTGTCATGAAGAGAGTAAATGATTGACGGGACTAAAGTTTTTTTCTACCATCTATTAGTTTATGATATAGTAAGTCGAGTACCGAGTAATTGGGGAAAAACCTAGTTCGAATAATGCCGAGTTACTCTAGCTTAAGATACTTACTCTAGTTAAAATAAGGGCTACCTCCTTTAAGCGCCGCAGTTGAACTTTTTGAAAATTTTGGAAGTCCAAGCAGTATAATAAACAATTTAATAATAAACAATTAAGATAAAGGAAATTAATAAAGATGATATTAATAAATTAATAATTAATGAAATTAATAAAGATGTTTTTGTTTTGCTAATAAAATTGATATTAAAATTATATAATAAAAAATATTTTATTACCATATAATATAATTATTTACTACTTTTTTCTAATAATATAAAATAAAATTTATGTATGCAATGCAATATTTAAATTTTAAAGAGGAAATAATTTGTTTGTAAAATATGAAAATAAATATAAACAAAAATGCTAAAAGATGGAATTGTATTGGTGTTGCACATTAATGGGGCTCAGCTTTATACAAATTAAAATAATTAATTCTTGATATTAACTTAATTAATTAATATATTAATAATTCTTCGAATAAAAATAAATAAAATTAAATTCATCAATTTGAATTAAAATTGTTATTCAAGAGACTAATTCTCAAAAATATTTCGCATTAAAAATAAAACTAATGCTGAAATTAGATAATTATACAGTTTGGCTAATATCTTCAACAATTGGTCCGAAGTGGACAGATGGGGAAAGTTTGTAATTTTTAGTTTTTCTTTTTATGAATTGTAATTTAAGTTGAAGATACACCTCCTATAGTTAAGAAACCCCGCCTTATGAATAAAGCCGACGACAAATCTATACCAGGTGAATGTGATTTAAACTTTTAAAAAATATTATTAAAATTTAAATTTAACCTTTTCCATCATTACCATAAGTAATTTTATTTGTATTTGAAAAAAAACAATTATTTAAGGCACAGAAAAACTATTAGAATCAGGAAGGCCAAAAATAAAACGCACTCCGTTGCCGGGTAATTTTTTGTAGACTATGAAAAAACGAATAAAGTTTGGTGAAAAAAACGAAGATGGAGTTTGTTTTTTTAATAATTAAAAGTTAAAAAATAAGAATTTTCGGATATATAAATTAGAATAGGGAATAAATCTAAAAAATATTCAGTTCGACTACGAGCCTTTTGCGCAATTATTTAATATTATTTTGTTAAATTATATCTTAAGTATTCATTTAATTATAAAAATAAAAATAATTAGATATATAAAAATCAGCCTTCAAATAATTTGATATAAAAATTTTTTAATAAATTTTTAATAATAATTTAATAGTAATTAATTTTTAATAATAATTAAAAATTAAACTTTGAATACATATGTATATAAATTTATAAAAATTTAGCTTAACATCAAAAGATAAGTGTTCGAAGTATCATTAAAAATCTAATTACATTATTTACTATAATTGTTAGCTTTATTTAATCATTTCTTACTTCAGGCTTTGTATTCAGTTAGTTCTTAAGTAGACAAATGGAACGATAAAATGAATAATTTATTAAGGTACTTCGCTTCGTGTAACTACATATTTAGGGATTCCTTGTTTTGAGTAAAAGCGAATCTGTTTTAGATTTTTGCGTTGGAAAAATTGCCTTTTTTAAGCAATTTTTTATAAACTCAGTCTTTTTTCTTTAAACTTCAGTTTTTATGTATTTCTCTGAACTCGGATCAAAAAAATTTCTTCACTTGAAGTCGTAAAATTTTTGATTTTTGATTAATAAAAACTAATAATTAAAAATTATTTAAGTGAAGAAAAGTGAAGAAAAAGCAATTTTTTAAATAACAAGCTAAGAATGTCTGGGTCATCTTTATTCAAATTTTGGGTCACATCTCTTTAGAAATCAATTTTCCAACTATTTTTACTACGTTTAGTACTGCCGCAATTTTCTCTCTACGTTTTAAATAAACAATCTATTAAAATTACACGTGCCTTTAAAAATGTTTATTTTTTGAGTTTAAATCAATTTAAATTATTTAATGCTTGTTTTTTCAATCCATTCTAAAGGTTATCTAACTAAAATTTTCATCACTTTATAATTTTGAAAGTTATTTACTTATTAATCTAGTTTTTTAACTTTTATTTTTGAAAATTTTATCCAAAAAATTTATATTTTATATCAAAATAAACCTCATATATTATTTTACATATAATTTTAGTTTTAGATTCGGAAAAAATTTATCAAAGCGAAAAATTAAGGTTTGTTTATGAAAATTGTTATTAAGCGTGAATGCAATTACTCTGTTTCAGAAAGTGCATTTATTTTATATTTTTCTTTTTTATTGACTAAATGTTTGAATAAATATGAATTAGAAGATGATGTTGAATTATTATTACACATTTCTGGATGGATTAGAAGATTTTATAGGAATTGAGAAGTTTTAAAATTTTAATTTTTTTTTAAATTTTTTAATTTTAAAATTTTTTAGTAATAAAGATATAAAAATTAATGCTTTGCTCAATTTTACCTTTGCTCAATTTCATTTTATCTTTATTTCCTTCATTTTTATTTATATCAAATTTAATTTTTTCCGTTCACTTCATCATCACTTAATTTTATTACATGAAAAATTGTGTTTTTATTTATTTTTATGTTTTCCTAGCAAAATTTTCATTCAATATATTTTTGGCAATTTAGTTTAATAATATTTCTTATTTACATAACTTATCATTTTATTGTCGAATATGTCCAAAAATTTTATAATAAATATCCTTAAATTTTATAATAAATATCCTTATTTGGCAATACAAAATATTATTTGGCTTATTTTAGAAATATTGTTGAATTTAATCTTCGTCCTAAAGAGAAAAATTTTTTATGATGTTAAAAAACCAAATCATCCTCGAGCACCCAGCTGTTGCGACTATTTGAGTACCCGGCCCAATTTATTAGTAAAAGATCACCATCCTCTACTTAAAATTTTTTTGATTGTTAAAAGAAGGCAATTATTTTTTATAAATTGCTGTGTAGTTTACTTTTGATAATAAAAGTTTTACATTTAAATATACTTGTAGAAATAAACTCCATTTTTGTTAAATTGTTGACCCATGTAACACAAGCAAAACGTATTGAAGAAAAATCTATTGAAGAAAAATTATGATATATTAAACGTTGGACTCATTTTTTAAAATTACTTTATTTATTTGTGGTTTGTTTTTTATTATTGTAATTTTATTTTTTTAATTTATTTGAAATTTTATTATTTTCCAAATCCTCTTAAATTGTTAATTTTAGAAATTTGCAATATTTAACGTATCGCCATTTTTTAATTTATCTTAAAATTCATTTCTATTAATGTTATAATTTTTACTCTTGTATCTTGAAGAAATTTTTTATTTTCATGCTCCTCTTATTCCTCTTTAATACTACATTTTATTTTTTATAATTCTAAGCATTGAATACCTTTATTAGTAAAATCTTTTGCTATCCTCATTAAAAACGTTTTAATTAAAAAATTAAAAATTGTTTTAAAATTGTAATATGATTTAGTTTATTTAAATATTACGAGTTTGAAATTATTTCACAAAAAATATTTCTCATACTTTAATTTTCAAATCATTTATTCGAGTGTGGCGAAAGTCTACCATGTTGTTCAAGTCGAAAATGGCTTGTTGTTTCTTCATTTCTTTTTCTGAATTAATGGGGTAATTGATTTTTAGAACTACTTTAATAATATGATTCACTAATTACTTATAGTAAATTTATAGTAAACTAAAATTTTAGCAACACAATTTAATGTAATGAAAACAAATTTGTTAAAGAAAATTTATTGTTTTATTAGACTTCTTCAATATTAATGTTTGTTCTTCAATATTAATTTATTTAATTTTTCTATCTTTATTTTATTCAAAATGTCTTTATATTACTCAAAGAATTCTTCAATTTAATTAAGATTTTTAGATAGTTTATAACATATACCTCTCTTTTCTTATGTATCCTCTCTTTTCTTATGTATGTGGACGACAACTGTTACATTATTTTTAAACTTAGAAGGGCAATATTTTTCAGTTCTAATGTGCTTATTTATAAATATATGAGGAGAAAATCCATAGTTAACTATGATTATTTATTATATGTATGCCAACGATTACTATTGGGCAAACAATTTATTTTTCTAGAAAAATATTGTAAATTTATTATAAATGAAATAAAACCTGTTTTATACAGCCGAGAGTAGTATGAATCTGACAATTGGTGTAGCTATTTCGATATGAACTCGAGAAATGAAACCTGAACACACCGATCATGTTAGTTCTTTCGATATATTGGTTAACTTCTTGTTTTGTGATTATCGGTTTAACTCTTGATGAATATGATTAATATTTTTTAAAATTAAATTATACAGTTATCTAATTTTTCAACTTTATTTTCTAAAAAATATGTAAAATTAAAATTTCAATCAATTCGTAATAAGTTAAATTGGGTATATGGAGATATACCTAATTATTAGGGATGGGATTTATATGGATTTCCATATTTTTTTTCTGAACTAGTTGGGTCGTGAAACGCACAAAAAACATAGTTTTAGCATATGTTGATAAGACCGATAATGAGTTATCAATCCATATTTCCCATATTTTTCCATATTTTGGCGTTCCGTCCATATTTCCATATTTTGCCCATATTTCGCCATTTTTTGTAAAATTTTGCCAAAAATTGGTTAAAATTTTGAAATTTATGAAATTTTTGGTCAAAAATTTTTGTAAAAATATTTTTTTAAAAAAAAATTTCGAAAAATTTTTGCCAAAAATCAAAAATTAAAAAAAAAATTTTTTTCAAAAATTTTTTATAAAAATTTTTCAAAAAATTTTCGGCCCAAATATTATACAAAGTATTTTTAGAAACAAAATAATTACTTTAAATTGATTTATTTGTAATATTTTGCATTAAAATTAGCTTATTTAACATTTTCTGCTTAAAGATGAAAATTTTCCGTTAGTAATTTTCATTTTTCGGTCCATATTTGATCCATATTTCGGATTTTAATCCATATTTCAGTCCATATTTTGAGATTTTTAGTCCATATTATATGTCCATATTTTTCGATTGATAGTCCATATAAATCCCATCCCTACTAATTATATATATTTTTAACATTTTTTATAAATAATTGAGTTTATCCTTTATTTTAAATGAATTTTAAGCACTTCTAATTTATTTAATACAAAAATCTGTTACCTTATAGACAATAAAATTTTCACATTCAAACATCTTTTTATGTTGTTATTTGCTATGTTTATGTAGAGTATTTATTTTTAGATACCATTTGAAATTTTATTATTTAGTAAAACTAATTGAATACTAAATTATGAAAAAAATCAATTACAGTGCGGTGCATATGTTTATCAACTTTTCATTTGTAATTTATAAAGGGTTGAAATTATCCTAATTGCGGAAAGCTGGTGCAAATGTTTATCAACTTTTTTTTAAATCGAAGAAATATTACAATGTTTCAAAAATTCTACAAAAATTCATGTGGACATTTCCATCGATCTAGTGTAGAAAACTAAAAAGAACGAAGTCTGTAACTTGTTTCTTCATTGAGATCTCAGATCCCAAAAATCAACGGGAAATGGGGTTACAGTACTTCAAAAAAATATTTTTACCCCTAGAGCTTTTATAAAAAATTTTCTTTTGGGCCCATTAAAAAGCCCATAAAATTTGCTATAAAATAGCCCAGGTTTAAGTTATTCGAAAAATAGTTGTTCGACATACATCGACTTTCACATAAAAATGGCCAAAATTTTCTGAAATACCCCCAAAATGATAACCTAAAAAATATCCCTAACTTCAACTCAATGAATTCTTTATCACAAAATTTGAGCTTGGGCTATTTTATAGCAAATTTTATGGGCTTTTTAATGGGCCTAAAAGAAAATTTTTTATAAAAGCTCTAGGGGTAAAAATATTTTTTTGAAGTACTGTAACCCCATTTCCCGTTGATTTTTGGGATCTGAGATCTCAATGAAGAAACAAGTTACAGACTTCGTTCTTTTTAGTTTTCTACACTATATCGATGGAAATGTCCACATGAATTTTTGTAGAATTTTTGAAACATTGTAATATAAAATTTTCTTCGATTTAAAAAAAAGTTGATAAACATTTGCACCAGCAGATTTTAGGGTAGCAACATTTAAATTGCTATAACTTTTTTTCTCTTGGTGATGAAGTAAAACTTTTAAATGATTTTTATACTAGATATATGAAGTATTAAATTGTAAAAAAATTTTCGATTTACTTTCAGCAATTAGGATAATTTCAACCCTTTATAAATTACAAATGAAAAGTTGATAAACATATGCACCGCACTGTATTTTGCATTGCGATGAAAGTTAATAATAAGTGTTTGTAAATTACAATCATCTTTTAAAATTTTTATTTAGACCATAATTAAAATTTTTACCATAATTTTATACCATAATTAAAATTAATAACTATATGAGTTTTATTTATATTTAAAAATTATGATGTTTGGATAATTATGATGTAAACTTTTAATTCCTCCTCAGACTAGAGGTAATTAATTTTTTTAAACACTAATTTTAAAATAATTATAGATGATTTATTATTATTATTATACATGATTTTCAAATTAAATTATTAAACTAATATAAAGCTATGACATTACGTCTAATCTTTTTCCAAAATTAATTTTACTTCAATTTAAGGTATTTAATTTATATAGTTTGATAATTTTAACTATTATTTCATATTTTGTTTATTTTTCATTTAGCATTTTAATTGGATATATTCAATTATTCGATAATGTGATGAGTTTTAATTCCTCCTCAGACTTGAGGTAATTTTTAATTAAATACCTAATATCTATGTTAACATTTTATTATATATAAATAAATGTTTATAAAACAATATAAGTTTGTGGGGTAATTATTTTTTGACTGATTATATTTAAAATTGATTTTCTCGATGGTGATAAAAGATACAAAAACAAATCAAACGGTATCTGAAACTTCACTAAATATAGTATTAAATTTACTAAGACGAATTGTACCCGATCAATATACTATAAGATATAATCATATAAATTTTGTGGGGTAATTATTTTTTGACTGATTATTTTTAAAATGGATTTTCTCGATGGTGATAATAGATACCAATACAAATCAAACGGTATCTGAAACTTCACTTATTAAAGTATTTAATCTACCAAGAAGAATTGTACACGATCAATATACTATAAGATATAATCATATAAATTTTGTGGGGTAATTATTTTTTGACTGATTATATTTAAAATGGATTTTCTCGATGGTGATAAAAGACAATACAAATCAAACGGTATCTGAAACTTCACTTATTAAAGTATTTAATCTACCAAGACGAATTGTACCCGATCAATATACCATAAGATATAATAATATAAATTTTGTGGGGTAATTATTTTTTGACTGACTATATTTAAAATGGATTTTCTCGATGGTGATAAAAGATACCAAAACAAATCAAACGGTTTCTGAAACTTCACTTAATATAGTATTAAATTTACCAAGACGAATTGTACCCGATCAATATACCATAAGATATAATAATATAAATTTTGTGGGGTAATTATTTTTTGACTGACTATATTTAAAATGGATTTTTTCTTTTGTCCCACAAATTTTGCATTTTTTAATAAAATTTCTTTGCATTCTTAAAATAAATTGGTATCTTTTCTAATTAAAATAAAGTTGACAAATGCTTATTATCAAACTTTTAAGATATTTTTAAAAATCGAAATCAACTTTTAATTAAAGAATATCGTTTATAAAATTTTTTTCAGGCAAAAAATTTTTATTTTAACTTGAAAAAAACAAACACGCTCTATTAGCTTTTAACATAATTTATATTGCATAAATATGTATTATAATTTTTCATATTTCATTAAATAAAAAAATTTTGGCAAAACTGTTAGTATACTAAAATTTAGAAAATTATGAGTATAATTTAGATTTAATCAATTTAGTTAACTTTGAAACTTCTCTCCTTTCATCTTTCTATGAATAAATATTTTATTTCATAAATAAAATTTTATTTAAAAAAACTTAAATTTATTCATGACAACTAATTAAACACACAAAAATTTAAATGAAAAAGAAA